AATTCTTCTGGTCTTCAGTCTTTAGTGTTTAATGTATCAAATCTGTTCTTCAGATGATCTCTAAATTCAGGTGGGATATATTCAGTGTCATATTTTGGCCTTCGTGAACTTCTTTTCATTTTCTTCAGTTTCAGTTTGAATTTACATATGAGTATTTTATGGTCTGTTCTACTGTCTGCCCCTGGTCTTGTTTTCACTTATGATATAGAGCTTTTCCACCGCCTCTTTCCACAGATGCAGTCAATTTGATTTCTATGTGTTCCATCTGGTGAGGTCCATGTGTATAGTTGTCTGTTATGCTGTCTAAAGAAAGTATTTGAAATGAACAAATCGTTGGCTTTGCAGAATTCTATCATGCATTCTCCAGCCTCATTTCTATAAACAAAGCCATATTTTCCAACTACATATCCTTCCTCTTTGCTCCCAACCTTTGCATTTCAATCACCATCAAGATCAATACATCTTGATGGCATGTTTGATTAATTTCAAATAGAAGAAATTGGTTGAATTCTTCTATTTCATCCTCACTGGGTTTAGTGGAATTTTGTATGATCAATGACTTATTCATGGGATTTTTTTTTCTTCTTCATATAAGACAAGGACTAGACTTAATTGTGTACAATACACAGGAATGAAATAAACTTCACAGGGCGTTAAGACTCAGGAGTGTGGTAAATCCAGTTTATTCTTCTAATCCAATATGTTTTTCATTGATTTTGACCCTAGTTGTCACCTACTCTAGTTATAGCACTGTGCTGACCTGCATCAGAGTGGTCTACAGTGATCATGTACTGAAGAAAAGGTAGTTGAATACATGCCTGGAATATCTGGTTCACATTTCCATCTATGTGAAAATCACCACAGCCAGTTGCCCACCCTCAATCTTTGCAGAATCACCAGAAAGAGTACTGATTTCCCTTTAGAAATGATCAGCATGAGAGCTGAGAACTTGGCAATAAATTACTGTGAGAGACCAAAACAGGGATAGCAATGTGAGCACAGGCAATGAGCTACCCTGCAAAGAGTTCTCTGGCCTGCAGATGGCACTAATAAACTATTGAAAATAAGGAGCACATGTAGGGAGTTTGGTAGTAGTTTCCTGAAGGCTAGTGAGTATCCTCTTAGGGATGTTGTTGTTGTTGTTGTTATGTGCCATGGAGTCGGTTCCGATTCACAGCGTCCCTGTACAGGGTTTCCGAGGCTGTAAATCTTTATGGGAGCAGAAAGCCTCATCTTTCTCCCACGAACAGCTGGTAGTTTTGAACTGCTGACCTTGCAGCTCGCAGCCCGATTCGTAACCACTACTCTACCAGACAGGAAATATTCTTTTTGCACTAAATTTTATAATTAAAACTGTATTTCTGGTGCTTCCCACAAGTTCTCCAACCATCATTAAGGTTGAAATTTTCATACCAACTTTAGATGACAAAAAGGGGAGCAATTGTCCAAAAGCTACAATCTATTACCCAAAGTATGTGTGAGTATCAACTGTAATGAGAAAGTTTGGGGAATGTTCACATTTACCCATAATGAATACCAGTGTAACATCAAGTATTTTCTTTATTTGTGAGTTTGAAATATATTCTTGAGAGAATCTGTTGCCTTTCTCTGTATTCAAGGGTTTGTTATTTATACACACAACTATTCTGAAACCTCTTTTAATAAAATGTGGTATTATAATAAATGATTTAATGTGTCTTTTTTCTGCAGGCCATATGTAAACCTTGTTGAGGTGAACTGACACAGTGGCTCAAGCATAAGAATGTGAGTTTGCACAGGACCCAACGGTGTTTTGATCTCCTGTGCCTAGGGAAACTCTGAGTTGGAGCTGACTTGATGACAGGTAGAATAATAAAAACATAATTTCACTTAACAACCCAACTGAAATGCAGTAGTGTCATATCCAAAGACAAACCTTGATTTTCTGCCTCTAAGTCTTATCTATTCCTACCTTCAGACAGAATAAGAAATGACATATAGATAAGCATGGTTATTCTACTTCACTGTATTCCTCAGTATGAGTGGTGTCACACACACAGAGTTTCAGGATGTGGTAGAGGATCCAGGTTCCCAATTTGGACTTGAATAATCAAAACACCATGATTTGCATCTTTAGCATTCCTTGCTTGTTTGGCTGTGTGTCTTGGAAATCATCAAAAAATAAATATATTCTTCAAATGGGTGCCAGACCTAAGTCTTAAATATTCTTCCCCATAAATATGTAAATAATCTGAAGTTTACCACATCACATAAGTATATATCTGTGTTCATAGAACCCAACCAACATACCACTCTCCGTTACATGTTCTGGGATAACAGCTGTCTAACCATGGACTGGACTTTGAGAGTCATCTTGTTGGTTGCAGCAACTACAGGTAAAATAGTTACAAATCCCAGGGATGGGGAGGGGCTTTGGGTATTCACATGGAATTTCATCCATCCCAATTTTCTCTCAGTAGATGGCCAATCCCAGGTCCAGCTGAAACAATATGGAGCTGAACTGAAGAAGCCTGAGTCGTCAGTGAAGATCTCCTGCAAGATATCTGGATATACCTTCACTGAATACTATGTGAATTGGATGCGTCAGATCCATGGACATGGGTTTGAGTGGATCAGAAGGGTTAATCCAAGCAATGGTGGAACAGACTACTCACAGAAGTTCCAGGGCAGAGTCACCATAACCAGTGAAAAGTCCACAAGCACAGCCTACATGGATCTAAGCAGTCTGGGCTCTGAGGACACCATATCCTGAGTGTGTCAGAAATCTTCAATGACAAGGTAACTGCACTTACTTTAGAGAAGACAGGGACAATTAGGCTACAGGCATGCTTATTTTGTTGTTGTTTTTGCTGTTAGATGCCATTGAGTCATTTCTAACTCATAGCAACATTGTACACAACAAAATAAAACATAGCCTGGGCCTGAACTATCTTCACAAATTCTATTGTTGCTGCCTCTGTGTCAATTCATCTTGGTGGGAGTCGGACCCTTCACTTCCAAGCATGATGTCTTTCTTCATGGGATTTTCCCTCCTGATAACATGTCTGAAGTATGAACGACAAAGTCTTGCCATCTGATTCTTAAGAGAATTCTAGATGTATTTCTCTCAAGACAGATTTGATTGTTATTTTGGAAGACCATATCTTTCTACAACATTATAATTCAAATGAATCAAGTAATATTTGTGCTTCTTTATCCAGGGTCAATTTTAACATACTTATGAGGCTATTAGAAACACCATGGTGAATCTGCCCTCTGTGGAGTGCCTAAGTGGAGCAATGATGCTGGGTGGCCAAGACACAGAATCTGATAGAAGGCTTTGGAAAATGTGTGGGCTGAGTTGTGCTGGGACTGGTAGCTGAGGGGGAAAGGAAAGTCAGTCTGTGAGAGATCCACTTATGTTGAGGAGATGAGCATCAAAAGCAGCACTATGGCTCATTGGAATAATCTTGAAAGCTATGTAGAATTTGCAAATCTCCTCAATCAAGTATACAGATAATCAGTGAAGAGAGGGTTTTAACTTACAGGTATGGTAGTAGGTGAATCTGGATGGGGAAAGTCATTGTTAATAAACTCACTACTCCCTTCCTATTCATATTCTCCAGAGTATCCAAGTTTTCTCCTTAGAATAAAAAAGACTGTATCAGTGCAACAATTCAAAATTTTAATCAAAGAAGGTGGAGGTCAGTTACTATTCATGATAATCAATTGTCCAGGATTTGGATATGAAGTAGATAATAGTAATTGTTGGAAATCTATTATTGATTACATTGATAATAAGTTTAAGAACTACCTAAATGAAGAATCTGGAGTGAATGGATGTCAGATGCCTGATAAGTGAGTTCAGTGTTGTTTATACTTCATTGCTCCTTCATGATTTGGGCTTAAACCACTGAATATTTAATTTATGAAGAATTTACATGAAAAAGTGTTTATCATCCCCTTTATTGCCACAGCTGACAAAATCACACCATAAGAGTGCCAACAGTTTTAAAAACAGATAAAGAAATTCAAGAACAAAAAATTAAAATATATGTTTCCAGAAACAGATGTTGAAGAAGAAAATAAGTTTGTTAACAAGATAAAGGACCATTTATCTCTTTCTGTAAGGAGCTCTGGTAGCGTAGTGGTTAGGAATCGGGCTGCAAACTGAAAAGTCAGCAGTTCGAAACTACCAGCTGTTCTGCTGGAGAAAGATGAGGCGTTCTGCTCCGGTAAAGATTTACAGCCTCAGCAACCCTGTACAGGGTTGCTATGAGTTAGAACTGACTCCACGGCACACAGCCACCACCACCTCTTGCTGTAGTAGGTAGTAATACTGTCATTGTAGTTAGTGGCAGAAGAGTCAGAAGAAGCCATTGTCCACGGGGTGTTGCTGAAGTTGAAAACAGTGAACATTGAGATTTTAAGTTCCAAAAAATATGTTGATAAAAACACATAAGCTGAAAATGAATGATATCAGTAATAATGTACACTGTGAGAATTATAGAGCCAGGAAACTGGCAGCTGTGACTTATTATTGAATTGATAACAACAAGAATAAGACAGGTTACAAAGAGCCCTCTGGCACAAATGGAAGAGGAAAGGAGGCAGCATGTCACCAAGAAGAAGGTCAAAGAAAAAGTTCAGAAACTGAAGGATCCTGAAGCTGAGTTTCTATGGCATCATGAGCAAAGGAAAAGAATTTTGAAGCACAGCACAAAGAATTAGAGGAAAAACATCAATTTGAGGATGAGAAAGGAAACTTGAAAGTTCTGCAGCATATGTTAGAACAACAGAACTCTTCAAGAACCTTGGAAAAGAACCAAAAGAAGGGGAAGGTCTTTTAAACCCTCTATTTACCAAAGTATAAGTTGACAATATGCTAGCTTGGACATCAGAGTTTTTGGATCTGTTTGACAATTTTGCACTAGTTTTATCCATAATGATGGATTTAACAGCATGTCAAAAATTTTTTTTGGGTGTGTTCTTGATGGAGTTTAAGATGACTTGAATTGTACAGGGGCATTGTGTACTTAGAAAGTAATAATTCTAAGCACCTTTCCTACATTTTATTTATTTATATTACATTGTTGTTGTTAAGTACTGTGCAGTTGGTTCTAACTCATAGTGAATCTGCACAGGGTTTCTGAGGCTGCAAATCTTACCGGGAGTAGAAAGCCTCATATTTCTCCCAAGGAACAGCTGGTAGCTTCAAACTTCTGACCTTGAGGTTAGCAGTCAAATTCTTAACCACTACACTAATATTACATTTCTTCTTGTTGTTATGTGCCGTGGATTCAGTTCCGATTAATAGTGACCCTGTATAGGGTTTCCAAGGCTTTAAATCTTTATGGGAGCAGAAAACTTCATTTTTCTTCCATGGAGCAGATGGTAGTTTTGAACTGCTGATCTTGAGGTTGGCAGCCCAACTTGTAACCACTACACTAATATTACATAGATGTTTCAATTTAATGCAAGAGAACATTTTACTGTTGTAAAATCATGTTCTAGTGGTTTGATTATGTGCAGGATATCCAAAATAAAAGGTCTCTGGAAGGTTTTCATTGAAGATAAATTGCCATATATGATGCAATCTATGCTTCTCTACCATGACTAATCTGTCAGTTTGTCATACTGTGGTGGCTTGTGAGTTGCTGTGATTCTGGAAGCTATGCCACAGGTATTTTAAATATCAGCAGGGTCACCCACAGTAGACAGGTTTCAGATGAGCTTCCAGACAAAGACAGACTTGAAAGAAGGAGAGATAAATTACTTATGAATACTTGTGTCGTTGTTGTTGTTAAGTGCCGTCGAGTCAATTCTGACTCATAGCGACCCTGTACAGGGTTTCCAAGGCTGTAAATCTTGACAGGAGTAGAAAGCCTCATCTTTCTCCTGCGAAGCAGTTGGTAGTTTTGAACTGCTGACCTTAAGGTTTGCAGCTCGATTTATAACCACTACGTTACCAGAGCTCCTTCATCTTAGCTACTTTCATTAACTACAGTGACTAGGAGCTCCAAGCTTGCAACAGGAGATGAGTAACTCAAAGGAACATAGACTCATTTCCTCCACAAAAAGCCTGGGTTGAAGTCTCAGTTCCCTCACTAAGTGTTATACGTTAACATCTCTATGCTTCATCTGCATAATGGGAATCATATTAGTATCTACCTCTCAGGACTGCTGTACAGTTTAATTGAACTAATACTCAGCACTTGGCACACAGAGAACACTTAGGCTGAATACTTAGTCACTGAAAACCTTAAGAATATCAAAGAAACACTGTCAGTCAGATACAGTGCCAGAAAATGAACCCCTCATGTTGTTAACCACTCAAAATGTGACTGCAGAAGAACTGTCTCCCCAAAATAGAGTTAGCTATGATGACGTGAATGCAGTAAAGCCTGTGGGACTAAAGCCTGAGGGACCTTCATTTTCTAACAAGGAACAATTCAAAATGAAGAGAAACAGCTGTAAACATCCATTAATAAAAGGAACATGGAATGAATGAAGCATGAATCTAGAAAAAAAAAGGGGGGGGAATTGTCAAAAATGAAACAGAATATATAAACATCAATACCTTAAGCATTAGTGAGCTGAAATTGACTGGTAATTGCCATTTTTTCTCACAACTACATGGTTTACTATACCAGGAATGACAGATTAAAGAAGAATAGTGTTACAATAATCATCAAAAAGAACATTCAGATCAGTCATGAGGTACAACGCTGTCTGTGATAGGATAATATCTGTGCACCTATAGGTAGTTGCTATCACTATTACTCAAATTTACATACCAACCACTAAAGCCAGTGAGGAGGAAATAGAAGAATTCTACCATCTTCTTCAACATGAAATTGATCAAATATGAAATCAAGATGTAATGATATCAGTAGTGATTGGAATACAAAGGTTGGAAACAAAAAGGAAGGGTTAGTAGTTGGAAAATAGGACCTTGGTGATAGAAATGGTGCTGGAGATCGCATTATAGAATTCTGCAAAACCAATGAATGATTAGTTCATTTCAAATGTCTTCTTTAGACAGTGTAAGAGACAATTATACACATGGACCTCACCAGATGGAATACACAGAAATAAAATTGCCTACATCTTTGGAAAGAGACTGTGGAAAAGTTCCATATCATCAGTGAAAATAAGGCCAGGGGCAGACTGGAACAGGCTATCAATTGTTCATATGCAAATTCAGACTCAAGCTGAAGAAATGAAAACAAGTCCATGAGAGCCAAAATATGAACTTGAATATATCCCTCCTGAATTTAGAGATCATCTGAAATACAAATTTGATGCATTAGGACCTTAAGACGTAAGACCAGAAGAGCCAGAGAATGACATCAAGAACATCATACAGGAAGAAAGCATAAAAGTAATTGAGAAGACAAGGGGAAAAAAAAGTAAAATACCAAAATGGATGTCAGAAGAGACTCTGAAATTTGCTCTCTATCATTGAGTTGTGAAAGAAAATTAAAGAAGTAAAAAGGTACAAGACCTGAGCAGAAAATTTCAAAGGTCAGCTTGAGAAGACAAAGTCAAATATTATAATGAAATCTACAGAGAAATGGAGATAGAAAATCAAAAGGAAAGAACATGCTCAGCACTTCTCAAACTGAGAGGACTGATGACAAATATAAACCTTGGCTTACAGGACTCTTTGGGCAAAATAGTAAATGATGTAAAAAACATCAAAGTAAGTTGGAAGGAATATACATAGTAAGTGTACCAAAAGAAATGGTCAATATTCAGCCATTACAAGAG